GGATAAATCCTACATCTAAGTATTACATTTCAAAAATAACAAATTCCAAAAATCTTTTAAAAAATCAGGTGTTTAATAAATTTATTAAACATTAAAATATAATATAATATACATTAATTATTTTCACTCATGTCACCTCACACACCCCATCTTATCAACCCACTACATCACCTTCCCTCCACCTCTCCACCGGAGACGGCCATCGGCACCGGCGGCCAATCCGGCAACTGTTCCGACGATCACTCCGGTGGCCGCTCCGGTGACTTTCCATCGATTACTCCGGTCGTCGATCCGACGACTATTCTGATGATCACCCCGACGACCACTCCGGCGACTATTTGACGATCCCTCTAGCAAACTTCTCCAATGACCACTCCAACGCATGCTTCGATCAATCTACCCACCACATCCACTCACTCCCAACTTCCAAAAAATTTCCAGAATTTCAAGTCACAATCGGTCACAACGAGCCACAATTAACCGGTCACAATCGATCACAAACAGTCATAATCGGTCACAACCAGTCACGATAAGCACACATTTGGTCACAAATGGTCACCACGAACAATCTGCACACACCACAGCAAATTGGATCAAAAAACCACCAACAAACTTCAATAATTCAAAAATCAAATCTACTGTATAGATCGACAGAAAATAATTGATTTTTGTTGTTCTGCACTAAATGTTTTTCTACCGCTATCAACCACCACAACCCACATCACCACCACAACTTCCAAACCATTGCTGCATCCTTAACAACAACCACCATCACCATATCTATAATGCGAAATGAGAAAATCTACGAAGAGAAAGGCCAAAGCAGATCACAAACACTCGTCTCACACTCCACTCGCCACCGACACCACTACCAACACCACCAACCCAACCCACCTCGCCACCACAACCACACATCACCACCACCTAGCCATATCCCATCAATTGTAGCCACGATGGCATCATCGCGCACATCCAAAACCAGATCCAATCAACTACAGTATGTCGCTGCTTGTAGCAACGGCATGCCTCCGGCAACGATGGTAGACGAGCGGTGGTGGGTCTGCAGTGAACTCACCCCGCCTGTGGCCAAATTGTCACGGTTGTGGTTGCGACAACTCGATCCGACAACATTGCTCCACGGTGGCTGCCGGTGGAAAATGAGGAGAAAATGAAGATGATGAATGGAAAGGGAGAGAGAGAGAGAGAAGATACATAGGAGGAGATGAGAGAGAATGAGAAGTGAGAGAAAATTTAATTACAGATTTGAAATGGTGCGTGGGTGGGGATTAGGTGAGGTGAATATGTAGAGATTATGTTTATGCATTGTTTGAGGGTCCCACCATGAAACAAAAAGTCAATTTCTGCGACCTAACGGTTGGAATTTCTAAATGGCTAAAAGAATTTAAAACAAATAGGGGCTTAATTAAATTTTTATTAATTATAATTATTAAAACTTAATTACCACCTGATTTGTGAAATAAAAATTAATCCACATGTTAAAAGTAGGTTTCTAGGTAATTTTCTCTAATTATATCGTAGCCTTGACTCGTTTGCCAGAGGAAAGGACTCCTAGAGACACATTTTTGTATTGAGCCCAATTCCAAGGCCCAGGATTCTTCCGAAAATACTGGGCTTTAAACCTTGATTGATCTGGTATATAAACAAGAAGAAATTACATCAACTCCTACTTTCTAATTTTTTATTTCAATAATCAATTGTGATTTTTTTTTTAAATATCAGGTGCACTTCCCCCCACCCTTTTCCACAGCACCCACTTAATGTAGAAAACCTAAACCTGACCCCATTTCATCCACCACTACTTCTAATCAACCCTCACAATCATCGGCCGAAACATCTACTATCGTCATCGCCGCAAAGCACTGCTTCTAATGTGTCTGCTCTCCACCACCATGGCCTCCGCATGCACCTTACGAACTATGGCTCCCCTCCTCGCCTCTTCACTATCTGTTTTCTGCCCTTTCTCCCTCTGGGATTCTAGAGGAAGGCCAATCGTAAAATTCAAAGAGTCCAGTACCATGCACCAACACCATTTAGATTGACTCCACCGCGAAATTTGTAAATGACCAACAAATAGTGTATTGATAACTGTAACTTTGTGTGATTTGTGACCTGTATTTGATTGTGATAATAAATTGTGTGTTATTATTATCTTGACATGTTTAATTAATAAGTTACAAAATTGTTATCCTCATGTTTGAAACTTTTTCACAAGTTTCTTATTTTTAAAAGTCTTAAAATCTTTGCGGTTATGTGTTTTTTCCTATAAACAAATGGAGATACATTTTGTGTAAATTTAGCCTATATTTGATTAAATATTTTGATAAAAGTTAATGGAATTTGTGGTTGAAAAGTTAGAAACTCATGAAATATATGATTAAAAATTAATTGTTGATCTTGACATAGATTTTAACTTCTTTTGTCGCTGAACCAAACATGTGCTTAATGTATTATGCTGATCAAGCCTAAAATCAGCCTAATTCACGACTCACGTTTCACCGTAACTTATTTATGAAAGTTGATTTTAGACAATTTAGAGAGAACAACTTTAAATTTGCATGTTAGGTTTCACACTCATACACGCACATATATAAATTGATCTATCAGTCTAAATATTTTTTATTTTTAAATGAAGCGATTCAACATTTTTAAGTAACATTTCAAACAAAATTCAGATCACTATATCTTTTATTTTGAAAATTATTAACGTAAATTGGTATGACAAATATATATATTTTTAATTTTTTTATAGATAATTTGACCAAATTATAAATTTCTACTTTTTCTGCCACGCGTTTTGAAGTAAATAAAATCAAACTTAAATAATATGAAAATTCAATCCCATTTTCGATTTTGCATTTGTTTACAAGTTGATTTTCTCACGCCAAACTCTATTTCAAATTGTTATTAGTAAGCATTTTTAATAAAGGGCTCAAAATTACGGTTAGCATTCATCGACAAACCTAAGATCCACTGGATCACCTCATACTATTATTTTTTGAGAATGCTATTTAGCTCCACTGGGGTTGCAACATCAGTCTAGATGGTGTTAATGTGATACTAAATAATATGTGAAATTAAATAAGTCATTTAATTTCACATTTCACTTAACCTATCATTTAGAGTCACATAGATTGAGGTTGTAAACCCATTGGGGATGTATAACATTATTCTTTTCCGAGTTAAGTTTTTTTGTTAGATGAAGATGTGTAAAAAAATGATTGGACTTTAGACAATTCATTTGACAGCAATTTTCGTAATTGGAACTTATTCAAAACACAAGCAAATTTTTTCTTTGGTTCGAAACTGATAGATTTTTGGGACTTGTATGTTTGCGACAAATCTTGAAATTTTATGGGCAAATACAAGTGGCAGAGCAAAGTGTGTGTGTTCAATTTTCTGAAAAATAATTTGGATATTTTTTTTCCCATTTATAAATAAATGCAACTCTGCGAGTGGTAGAGCAACAATATGAGTTACATTTTTTGAAAAATAATTTGCTTATTAGAGTGTTGACTAATTTTTTTTCCCCCTTTTTTTTTTTTTTGCAACTACATCAAACTAGGTTCTATTGCATTGGATTTCTTTCCATAATGTAAATTTCTTTAGATCCACACAAGATTTACCCAACGCCACTTGCTTAATTTGTCATTAAATCACGTTCACTTTCTTGCATTGTATCATTATTTCGCTTGTTTTATTCTTTACATTACTTTTGGAATAGTGTGAAAGTGATTGAGGCGCCGTTGGTTTCTTGAGAAAATATGTTTCCTTCCTTTTGCTTTGTGCTCTCGAAGGCTTTGTGTTTTCTCTCGTTGGACAATCTGTTTCTCTTCCTTTCCTTTGTGGTTAACATACCTTGGATCTAATCTTTTCATCCTCTAGCTCCTTGTGGGCGTTAGAAACTGAAGCAACCGGTTTTGGCTTTGGGAAAGTGACGGTTTGTGACTTTGGTTTGGTAACTGTGGTATTCGATCAATACTGAGCCGGGATCTTGATGCGAAGTTGGCGGGTTAATCCTCACAATATGAATTTTTTGGTCAGGATATTTCAATCCAAAGGCGACAACACACTTTACCATCTAGGTCAAGCAGACTTTTTAGAATTTTTTTTTCTTTATTTTATAAATTAGTGATAATTCAGAAATAATTAAGAGAAAATAAAGGAAATTAAGATGCATTCTATGGAAATTTGTACAAACTAATCTCTTCTTAGATTAAATTATAGGAAAAGTCTACATGTACATAATAATATCCATAATGTGATGTAGATAAAATCCTATTGTTGATGTGAAAGTGTGAGATTTGAATTAATGGTTGGATTCAGTGCCACGTGTAATTATGAACATCATTACGCATAGATTTATGTACTTCCCTGAATTATATATATCGTGATACGTGATTTTTCAAAAAACAAATAAAGTAAGAAAGCCTTGACGTGATGGCACGCCAACATACCTACCTTTGCTCCCTGGCCTAGATATAGTGGTAGAAAAAATGTCCCAAAAGAAAAAAAAAATTTTTGAAAACGGAGAAAAATGCTCTACAAGAGAAGAAAAACAACTAGAGAAGTGATACATAAAGAGCCCGTTTGGTACACATTAAAATGAGAGAATGTATTTTTTTGAAGTGATGTGATGGGGAATATATGGTTGAAAATGAAGAAAAAATTATTGATGTGGTGGAAAATATTATTTTATTGAGGAATGTGTGGTTGAAAATGAGTAAAAGAATGAGAATTCATTTTTGGAAAAAGAATGCATTTTTTACTGTTGATGTGATGGGGAATATGTGGTTGAAAAAGAATGAAAATTTATTGATGTGATGAAAAATATTATTTTATTGAAGAATGTGTGGTTGAGAATGAGTAGAAGAATGAGAATGAAAAAAATAATGTGGCCCAAACAGGGGCAAAATATATTTACGAAATTTATTCTGTCTATATAGAATCATCAAACCCTCCTTTAGGATTCAAGTGTCACTCTAGAACGCCAACAAAGAATTCTTTATATCATAACCCATCTTCTCCAAATTGGGATTAATGGCGAACTGCATCATCGGTGGCGGTCCGCAGGCCAATGCGAGAGTGGTTTTCGATGCTTCGGGAATGTGTTCTCGGAGAATACTCTCCGTGATAAAACCCAAACTATATTTCCATCCTTCTTTAATAGATTCTTGGACGACGTACCACACTTTGACCCTGTCGGGATATTTCTCAGCCCATTCGTCTAGTTCGTCTTTAAGTAGTATATCATCTTCGGTGCGATTAGCGTATACTACAAACATTTCAGTTTCATCCTCGGGATCCTTCAAAATAGCCTGCATAACTTGATAAACCGGAGTAATCCCCGTGCCACCAGCGAGCATGGCTAGTTTCTCGGCAAACTTATGTTTGCCATGCACCAAAAAGTTGCCCTTTCCTGTGTATTCAATGTGACCTAAAGGACCCTTCACATCCAAGAATGATCCAATTTGGAGTGAGTCCAAATGCTGTGACATAAGCCCGCCATTTGGAAATTTGGGATGAATTCCCTTGAAGTAGATCTTCACGACTAGCTCGAAATATCCGACCGTGTCAACTCCACTTGTTGGTGTATAAGCTCGCATGCAAAGCTTATCCTCGATTGTAGCACACAAAAATATGTGCTTCCCAACAGGTAATCCTAGAACCTGATCTTCAGCAGGCAATGCAAATCGAAACACTCGAACATCATGGGAAATTGACGTCTTGGAAACAAGTTTGCATCGAATTTTCTCACGTGGAATGAGGGCAACATTTCTTGCCGGTGCAATTTCCTTGATCGGGGCTAAGTAGAGACCGCCTCCCGGGGGACCATGAACTGAATTGTTAGGAGATGAAGCACTAGAATCTGAGGTATAACCAGTAGTTATCAATTCACCTATCCTATAGTCTTCCAAAAGCTTCTTGGCCTTATCAGAATGGATGGCATCAAATTCTTCCGTGCAGTCCGTGCCAGCGTTGATGAGAATACTGTCAGTGCCACCCGGGTGGTCCTTGAGGAAGCTAGTGCAGTCATAGACGTGTCCGTGGACGATGATCCAGGCGGAGTCAAGCGAGTTGTGCTTTTTAACCTCAGACAATGAATACATTTTTGAAGAAGTGTTTATAAAAGGCGACGAAACGCTCTTCTTTAGGGTTTGATTTTCTTCGGAGAATTTCTCCAAATGCCTCTCCTTAGCCATCCATCCACCCGATTGGTTTCCGGGTTGAGTTGGGTGGTCGAAGATGATTCCAATCTCTCCTTTGTGCGGTTTGCACACATTAGTTTTCACTCGGAACCAACAATTATTCATCATTCCCTGCACATTTCACAATTTTAGCACCCCACCATTATTTCACGTTATAATGAGATAAATAGTAATTTTTTAGAGAATGTGTGATTAAAAAAAAGGAAATTTTTTGGGTTTACATGTAATATTATTTTATTGAAAAATGTATTTTTAAGAAGAAAAAAGAGAAAAATAAATTATAATTTAATGAGACGATTTACTTTTGTTAATCATAGTAGTTACTTATTTACTGATAAATTTTACTAGAGTCACGTGACCATAACGTGAACAAAAATTATGTAATGTGCGATAATTGTACTTGAAAGGAGAATTTTTGTATTTTAGGAGCTTACAGCTCAATATTGGACCACACTTAAAAAAAAAAAAAAAAAGGCATAAACAGAGAATAATGGCACATGCCAGCACACGGTCGGTAATAAGACTTTTTTGCCTGCATTATGCCCAGCTAAAATTACTTCACTTATCAGCAAGAGGATTTCTACTTGTACAACCACAGTTGACTGAAGTGGTTGACAACCACTCACAGTGGTGGACCCCACTGTGATTAAAAAAAAATTTATCCACCCACGCACCCCATGTGAGAGATTGTCAACAAACCCACCCCCTCCCCCGTACAAGTAGCATTCCTCTATCAGCAATCAGTAAGTTCAATAAAAAATTAATTATTTACTTGTAAACTTACTTATAAACAAACTTTTGCCTGACATGTTTTAGAATTTATAGAAGTTGCCAGATTTTAATTTCAAAAACTTCTTTTAAAGTCTTTACTAACTGGATACTTATTGGAAGAAAAAAATTAACAAATCAAACTAAGGTCGTTTATAAGTAAATATGACCTGATGCATGTTCGATGTAGATTTTTTTATAATAAATTTGTGAAAATTGATACTTTTTAAGAATGTATGGTTTTAAAAAAATTAAGAAATATTTTCGAACGGGGGCAGAATATATAAGCCAAAAATGCACTAAGGTAGGTGGGGTGGAGGGAATTGAAATCACCATGACATTCCAAATCAGATTGTTAATCATAGTAGTTACTTATTTACTGATAAATTTTACTAGAGTCACGTGACCATAACGTGAACAAAAATTATGTAATGTGCGATAATTGTACTTGAAAGGAGAATTTTTGTATTTTAGGAGCTTACAGTTCAATATTGGACCACACTTTAAAAAAAAAAAAAAAAGGCATAAACAGAGAATAATGGCACATGCCAGCACACGGTCGGTAATAAGAATTTTTTGTCTGCATTATGCTCAGCTAAAATTACTTCACTTATCAGTAAGAGGAATTCTGCTTGTACAACCACAGTTAACTGAAGTGGTTGACAACCGCTCACAGTGGTGGATCCCATTGTGATTAAAAAAAATTATTCACCCATGCACCCCAATGCGAGAGATTGTCGCACAAGTAGCATTCCTCTATCAGCAATCAGTAAGTTCAATAAAAAATTAATTATTTACTTGTAAACTTACTTAAAAACAAACTTTTGCCTGACATGTTTTAGAATTGAGAGAAGTTGCCAGATTTTAATTTCAAAAACTTCTTTTAAAGTCTTTACTAACTGGATACTTATTGGAAGAAAAAAATTAACAAATCAAACTAAGGTCGTTTATAAGTAAATATGACCGGATGCATGTTCGATGTAGATTTTTTTATAATAAATTTGTGAAAATTGATACTTTTTAAGAATGTATGATTAAAAAAAAAAATTAAGAAATATTATCGAACGGGGGCAGAATATATAAGCCAAAAATGCACTAAGGTAGGTGGGGTGGAGGGAATTGGAATCACCATGACATTCCAAATCAGATTTTGGGGCTGCGTGTTGAGAGTTTCATCCCATGCCCGAACTGCTATTTCTTTGGCACCAATTAATTCCAGCACCTCCACCTCTAGTGACCAGAAGCACCAGCACCAGTATTTGCCGTACTTGTTCGGCTTCTCCGTGTGGTCCAAAGTGGCAACCTGCCATGTCTCACCGCCATTCATAGTAACCTCGACCCTCGTCACTTTCTTCCCACCGCCTATTCATGTCACAACATATCATTCAACACTAATAGCGTATTTGCTCGTCTAAGTACAATTTTTCTGATACAATGTCATCAACTATACTCTAATCCACAAATTAGATTCATCTTTCATCAAAAGCTTGACATATGAAAGTTTAATGATGATGTAATGTATACTAACTACTCATCCACATGGACCCTGATGCACGAATCAAAACCTAAATGTGTGTGAATAAAACAAAAATTTCATCTCACCAGAATAAGCGTAGCCCCTCAATGTGTAAGGCCTCTGAGTTGTCCACGAGTTGATAGGCAGAATCTCTTCGTGACACGGTGTTGTGATCACTGAGTTTATGTTTAACTCGTTGATTATGTATTCAGGTTTGTACCACCATGCTGCACAAAATTTTAATGAGACAGTGAGTCGGCAAACTTCAGGAATATTGCCTTAATTTGTAAAAAAAATGTGCATGTACCTTCGGCATCAACTAGTTCGGCATCAACATGTGATGGAAGAACTCTATTATCCTTGTAATGATAATAATTGTTGGATTCCTCTGTAGTAACGGTGATTCTTTTCAGCCATTTCACCATTCTTCCACCGATGAATCCCGGAATTATCATTCTCACCGGAAATCCATGATCCGGAGCCAATTTTTCGCCGTTCTGCATGTAAGCTAGAATAATATCTCTTGACGGATCCATGGCGAATTCCTTCTTAATGCTAGTGCCGTATTTGGCTCCACCGCCTCCGGGCAAAACCTCCACCCCTTCAAAGCAGACATTCAGACCACCTTTTTTACGGCTGTAAATACCGCACCGCTTCAAAATGGCACGCAGTGGCACTCCACGCCAGACGGAGGTGGATATTCCAGCCGCGCCCCAGTTGAAACCTATGGTCTGTTTCACCATGTTTTGTTCTTTTCTGCGATTTCCAGCGCAGACTAGAGTCACCGGGAATTCTCTGCTGGGAAATTCGTCGACCAGTTGTTGCATTGTTAATTTCATTGGGCGTTTAACGAGCCCAGTGATTTCAACTGTCCATTCATCCCATCTGGCTTTAGGGACATAGCCATGGTTTCGTACATAGTGAAGTGGAACAGGCGTAATGAATCCGTGGTGCATGAGGCGGGTCAGTGGCGCCTCCGCGTTAAAAGGGTGTTTTCCGGTCAGTCGAACCATTGAGGGGTTGCGCTCAACCCAATTATCCGCCGTGCCTTCGTCTCTTGAATCAAACACAGATGGTTCCAGCTCCGCGTTTGCTTTCTTGATTGCATTTACACATTCATTTTCGTCATCATCATCTTCACTGGAAGAATAATCAAATACAGTGCTACCATTACTTTTCTTGAATTCAGAACTGGGATTTGATGGAAAATTGCAGCCACGGACTGGGGAGTCAGACCGGTGGTGGTAACCAGCCGCTGGAGTGGGCTTAAAAGAAAGACGGTTGAACTGCCGGTTTTCGACTGACGCCGCCATGGATTACTGCTAGTTTTACTGAAAGAAAAGAAATTTCTTTTCACTAAATATCTCAGTATTTGCTTGTAAATTTAATTTTGTGTTGAAAAGTTTGTGTGTTGGGGACTTATATAGAGTGATGCTGGGACTCTGTTTCCATTAATTTATGCAAAAATGCTATTTGTACCAAGTTGCTTGACAAAAGATGTTGACAAAGATTCGTGTAGGGTGGAGATCAAATGGCAGTGGACGGCTGTGATTTAATTTTACACCAAGCTTAGGGCGCCAAAATGGGAAATCTTTGTGAGGAAAAAGTAAAAATCTCTGTTTGCAGAATAAACCATTTTCTCTCTCCGGCTCTCACCATTTCCTCCAAATCAAGCTCCTCCTCCTAACTCATTTCCTCCCAATTTGATGAGGCAATATAGAGGCAAAAAGTAGGCGACTCATTCTTCATCTTCGCTATATACAGAGGCAGAAATTGGACTGCAAGATTAGGCTGATGGAAAAAGGGAATCTTCAGTCATGGCAAAATAATTATAAATTTCTACTGGACCTAAAGTCATGTATTCATATCCAAAATGTGATAGGCCACCTCTGTCTCTGGATTGAGCCACTGAGATTCAGAACAATTTATACCCGAGCGATATGTCCTAATTTTAAGCATATTGATTTTTTTATAGTCATATAATAGAAATCTTTTTCTTCCGCCAGAGTTGGAGCAAAAGCATCAGATTTGCAGGGTGATGATAAGCTTGAAGATAAGTTTTAAGCACCAATAATCCCACTGAATTAATCCATACGGTGACACAAAGCTATCTATTTCTATCCACTTTCTCTCAGCATTCTCCACACTATGTCACCACCTCCACAGCCAGAACCAGGACAACCTTCTACACCAACATTTCCATAACAATGGTGCTCCTTCGCCACCTCTACCCTCCAACAGAATTGGTACATAACTGTGAGGACAGCTAACAACACACTGAACTTAGGATACAAAAAAGTTACTGAAAGCAAAAACATGAGAAAGAAATTGAGCTGTGAACTTGCTCTTAAATATGTGAAGTTGACCGGCTGCCAGAGGTAGGGTTGACGCATGCTGCTGGACCTTAGTGGCTGCCGGAGGTTTGTGATTTGGGAGGATGGGTTTGGTTTAAGTTGATTTGGGGGAAATGGGGAGAGAGAGAGAGAGAACGACGTTGGGTTTTCTAATTTCGGATTTTTAAGTTTTTTTTATTTTTTTGTAATTGATGTCACATCACTTTGTCAACCTATTTTGTCAAGTAACTTTGTACACGTAGCACGGTTGTAATTTATGAGAGAGTGGCATCATAACGATACAGAGATATACATACACATAGATCTCACGTATAAATATATACATACACTTTGATCTCATGTATAAACATATGCATGCAGTGATGCAGAAAGATACGTGTATTTTTCAATTGGAAAAGCTATGATTTTGATTAGTCATACTAAACTATTTTTCTTTTATTTGTCTTGTTTTTGGTATTTTTTGTAGCTGAATATATATGTATCTCAGAAAACAAAGTACTACAAATATTATTTTTCGTTTACGTTACTTTCTCGACAATATCCACTCCATAGCTTTTGACAAGATGTATTAGTTTATATTTCAGAAAAATGAACTCATCTCATGTGTATAACGAAGGGTTGGGATTGTTTTGGTAAGGAATCTCTAACCGAGAAGATAATACGTCGAAGATATTTTTTTGTAAATTTCAAAACTAGTATTATCATTTTGTTGTGAAAAGAGAGAAAAAGAGGAGAGAATAAAAATCAATAAACTTGTGTGTATTTTAATGAGAATCGAAGCCCTATATTTATAGGAATGATTGGGGATACGATAATAATAATTTCTAGGATTGTAGGGATACAATTGTCATTCACTAATAAACTTACAATTTACAACATTCCCCCTGAACCTGAATGGCACATTACAAAATATATGCCTCGTTAAAACCTTATTTGATAAAAATGTAATGGGACAAAAAAACAAACAAAGAAAAAAGAGTACAGTTATTTTGTAGTATTAAAGATAAATGTTGCCTCATTAAAATCTTGTTAGGAAAATCCAGTAAGATAAAACCAAAGCGAAGAAAAAGAGTACAGCTACTCCCCCTGATGTTGATCACTGAAAATCTTTGAGTCAACGCATTCTAATCTTGTGAACCAATTTCTTGAATGTAGATGTTGACAGTACTTTTGTATATAAATCATCCACATTGTCACTTGAGCAAATTTGTTGAATAACGATGTCGCTATTCTTCTGAATCTCATGTATATGAAAGAATTTTGGAGAAATATGCTTCGTCATATCATCTTTGATATAACCTCTTTTGAGTTGTGCAATATAAGTAGCATTGTTTTCATACAAATTGTTGGACTATATTTTGTTGAAATTAATCCGCATGATGTTTGGATATAATGAGTTATGTTCCTCAACCATACACATTCTCGCTCTACTTCATGGATTGCAATAATTTCGGAATGATTTGAGGATGTGCTGTCAAGGATTGTTTCACAAATCTCCATGATATAATTATTACTCCACGCGTAAATACGTATCATGTTTGTGATTTATTTTTATGTAGGTCAGAGAGATAACCCGCATCTGCATATCCCACTAAAGCAGATATCGACTTTTGATAATAAGATAATCTCAAATCAATAATACCCTTTAGGTAACGAAAAATATGTTTAATACCATTCCAATGACTTTGTGATGGTGTAGAGCTATATCTTATAAAGAGATTTACAGAAAAAAAAAGTTATGTTGGGTCGAGTATAGTTTGTAAGATAAGTTAATACTCCAATTACACTAAGATATTGTACAAGAATTTTTCCTCCATCTTCAAGTGGACGAAATGATCTTTTTTCACATCAAGTGATCGAACAACCATAGGTGACGCTAATAGATGTGTATCCATATAAAAAGCGTTTTAAGATTTTTTTTTTTTATATATGTAGATTGGTGACAAATAATACTTTTGAGAAATGTTCAATCTGCAACCCAAAACACAATTTGGTTTTTATCAAATCTTTCATCCCAAATTCATTTTTCAAATAATCTGTAGTTTTTTTGAGCTCTTCATAAGTTCCAATTAAATTTAAATCATCAACGTAAACTGCCACAATTGCAAACCCAATATTTATTTTCTTTATGAAAACATATGGGTAGCAGACGTTGTCATTTTTATAGCATTATTTCAACAAATAGTCGCTAAGACGATTATACATGTTACAATTTAATTAAGAACATGGTTTACATGCATGTATTATTTGTTCCTCGCACTTTAAGTCCTTCAAGGATTTTCATATATATATCACTATCAAGTAAACTATACAAATTGACAGTCATTATATTCATAAGACACATATCGAGCATTAGTGATACAGTCAAACTAATTAAAAATCTAAAAGTGATGGTGTCCATTATGGGAAAATATGTTTCTTCATAATCAATTTCTGATCTTTGTGAGAAAACTTGAACTACGAGTCGGACTTTTTATCTTATAATTTCATTATTTTCATTTCTCTTTCGTACAAAAACTCATTTGTATCCAACAAATATTACACTTTCAGGTGTTCGAATTACATGTCCAAACACTTTCCGTTTCTCTAAGGAATTCAATTCTGCACGTACGGTTTTTTTCCACTTTGACCAATCATTTCCATATTGACAGTTTTTAATAGATTGTAGTTTAAGATCCTCATTTTGCATAATATCAAGAGTTGCGCTAAAAGCGAAAATATTGTCTATAACAACATTATTTATTTACCATAATTTATGATATAATATATAATTTATTGAAATCTTATTATTTTCGGACACTTGTGATTCTAAAACCATATTTTCAATATTTGATTTATCTATCTTTTCTAATATTACTTCTTTTGAAGTGTTTGGTTGATTTTTCTCTTATACTTTTTTTTTGAGGTCCAGAGTCTTTTGAAACAATTGGTCAACCACGCTTCTAGCATATTTGACATTTATTTGATTCAACATATTGTCATCAAGGGACATCAATTTTTGTTAGAATATTTTTTGCCAGTATATATGATTTTGTCACTTTTCTTGTGTCAAAAAATACATCTGGTAGTTGATTTACAACTCTTTGCAAATGAATGATTTTTTCAATCTTTTGCTCACATTAATTGTTGTGGGGATCAAAGTGAGATATAGTTGTTTCATTTCAAGAAATTTTACTTTTTCTATCAGGATGTAGTCTCCCCTTCAAAGTTGGGAAAGTCATTTCATTAAAATGTCAATCTGCAAAACGTGCAGTAAATAAATCACCAGTTAAATGTTTAAGATACCTAATAATAGATTATGGTAAATCAAAACCCACATAAATCTCAAGTCTTCTTTGGCAACCCATTTTAATTCGTTGTGGGGATAAAATATGGACTTGAACCATATAACCAAAAATCCGTAGGTGAAAAATATTAGCTTCATGACCAAATGTCAGTTGCAAAGGTGAATATTGATAATATGCAGTTGGTTTGATACGAATCAATTACGTAGCATGTAATATGAAATGTCCTCAAACAGAAGTTGGGAGTTTTGTTTTCATAAGCAATGGTCTAACAATAAGTTGTAGACGTTTAATAAATAACCCCACTAAACAATTTTGTGTATGGACGTGCGCAACAGAATATTCAATAACAAACTCAATTGACATACAATAATTATCGAATGTTTGTGATCTAAATTCACCAGCATTGTCAAGACGAATAGTCTTGATTGAGTAATCGGAAGATTACGCTCGTAATTTTATGATTTGAGCAAATAGTATAGAAAAAAGTTACATTCCTAGTGGAAAGTAGGCAAACATGTGACCATCTAGTAGAATAATTAATCACTACCATAAAATAACGAAATGGTCCACATTGTGGGTGTATTAGCCCGCATATATCACCAAAAATTCTTTGCAAGATAATTGGAGATTCAATATTTGCCTTTGTAGTCGAAGGTCTAATAACTAACTTGC